GGTGTTAGGTCACATCCACCTTAGATGTCATTAGTTTAGAACAAAAATAAGAAGATGCACTTAAATGGAAACAAAAATTAGGTGTCTATTGGTCAGATTGGATTCCTTACCGAACAAGTGAATCTTTTGACCAAGTTGGTGACACAATTGTCTGGAAACTATTATCCCACTAGACAGGTTTGGGTGAACAGAGTGATCTGCAAAATCTATAAGTGGATCACGGTGTTCTTAAGAGAAAGAACACTTATATACCTAATTGATTAGGTAGTTTTTGATGCATGCTTGTTCTTAATTGTCACATGATGATTGCATGCATCACTTGTAAGTGTTTACTTTCATTTGCTGTCGTTTTGGTTCATGCATGTGTATTCTCATCTGTCTGCATTGACGCATGTATATCTATTTTTGTTTTTTTTTTTGTACTTGATATTTTTCTTTTTGAATGATGTATTCATGTTTGAAAAAGAAAAACACAAAAAAAAAATAATAATAAATTTTAAACATTGGAAAAGACAAAAATAATTTGCTATGGAAATTGCTATAGCATGATATATATTTCTTGAACTTGTTGGTTGTAATCATGCATGAGCTGAAATTGATAAGCTGTAGAATAATTTTCATTACTTGTTTAGGTCTATTTAGATTAATTGGTATAAGTGTTTTTATATAGCATTTGCACTGCACCCACTAGGAATTTGGGATGGTTATCACATGTTGATAGCGTGACTTTGGAAATGAATTGACCAATACTTAGTAGACATAGACCCGAAAATTATTCCCCTATTGAAATAAGCTCATATCTTAATTTTTTTTTTCTTTGTGGCCTATTTAACTTGAGCAATTAAGCTTGAGGGGTCTCTTGAAACCTGGTGCCTATGGTCAGCTAACTGGGATTAATCGGCCTAAAGCTCGCTACGGGGTCATCTTAGTGCCTAATGTAGAAGAATCTGCAATTAAGATAAAAAAATTAATGAGTAGGAAAAATAAGAAAAATGTAAAAAAAATATGAAAGATGTGATGGGTTAAAAAATATGGAAACTTTAAAAAATATTAATGTTCAAAGTAAGGGATAGAAAAATAAAAATAATAAGTATAGTTTTTGCTGTACTTTCATAATTCGACTTTCATAAGCAGAGGAATATACTTATTGGCAGTGATTGACTTGTCCCTTCTCACAAAATTAAAGTTTGGAGTCCTGCTTGCATTGGAATAATGACATTTTATACACATGAGTCACTTGTACTTTCTACTCCATTCATACGGTTCTTGATATGATTCCCTTCACCATTTGTGACAAAAAGGGAGAGAGAAATGTATATAACTGAGGGAAGAAAAACATGTAAAATAGCATACATATAGGAGAGCGACTGCATTGGCATGCACATGATTTCACTGATTGACATTACTTGTATTTTGCATTGCGATGTCTTATAGGGGTCGTTGGGGAGAGACATAGATACATTGTGTTATTGCATTGAATTCATGAGAGTTCGAAGTAAGGGGGAGTATTAAATTGCATTCCATATCATATCTATTATTGTTTGAGTTTTGATGTTCAGTGATATTGGTATTTCGGTTGGTGTTTTGATTGGCATCAATATCATGTCTCAAAGTAGCATGTTGATGTGTTTGCATTTATTTGCTTTAATTTTTATTTTCTGTATCACGTGCTTTTACACTGGCATGTGAGTTTTTGGATTTCAGGAAATAGGTTCAACAAGGAATGTAAGACTTAATGATTTGGAATATTGGGTAGTTTAGACTTTTGATTGATTGTAATCCCTTGACTTAAATTTGTATAATTTTGTCACCAAATGCCAAAGGGGGAGATTGTTAGGTCCAATATTGTAATTGGCAATGCAGTGAACAAAATTGACAAAATTGATCACTTGTAAAAGTCAAGGGCTTAGTTACAATTTTGAATAGATGAGGTAAATTAGCATTGGAGGCATTGAAGGAGTCCAAGAAGAACACATATGACCATCAGAATGCAATTAGAAGTCTAAAGAATGTCAAAGAGCCGTACAATTTATGTTCCAAATTCTCAATCATAAATTCCAATACATTTTTCACATAGAAAAAATTAGAATTTAGTCAAGGCTATTAAGAAGAATTGTAGCCCTTTGCGTTAGCTTTTTAACGTAAGTTGAATCACCTCAATCAGACATTGAGAGAGAAAGTTATGGTGAAAACATTTATAACTGGTCAGCTGTCGCTCGATTCTCATTGACTTTTTGCCTGAGCAAAAAAATAGAATGGCTCTAGCTCAATTCTCGCTGAATCCTCGCTCGAGCGACATTCTTATGTCGTAAAATCGCTAGTTCGCATTTTTAAGAGTTTTACTCGACCCATACTACTAAAACACCTTCAAATATAAATACCCAAGCCCTAGCACGAATTTTTGGGTGGTTGTTCTTTGTGTCTCTCTTAGAAAATATATTCTTATAATCTTTTTGAAGATCCAAGAGCATTTCTAAGCATTGATTCATTTTATTTATTCTTGAGATTCAACAACCACTATTGGGGAAAACATTAAAGGCCCGATAATCCAAAACACCTGTCTTCCTTAATCTTTTGATGAAGGGACTCTCTCATTGGAGGATTGAGAGATGTTGATTAAAGCGCAGTTACAAGTACAAGAATAGGCAATTTAGCTGGAGGTAGACTTGGAGTTCTAGCAGGAGGCTAGAAGAACCTACGGCAGTAGGAGGCTACAGGAGGTAGATAGGGAATTCTAGTGCTAGAGATGCCTATAGCAATAGATCGTAAGGCTATGGCAGCGGGTCTTAATGGGTACAAGGATAAGCTTGTAATTGTATTATCTGAATTGTCTATAGTGGATGTAACTCGCTTGGTCCTGAAGTTTTACCAAGTTGGGGTTTCTTCGTCCTCATATCTTGTGTTATTTATTGGTTTCTACAATATTATAATTGTGGCATTCAAACATAGGATAATTGAATTGTTTTTTTTAACCACCTAGACATCTAATTAAAGTGACTTGTTGCTTTAACTAGTTTATTCCGTACGTAAGGTCGAATAATTTGTAATCTGGAACGCAAACTCGGTAAATCCTAAAAATTGTAGTGGTATTAGACTGTTCTAGATTCTTTCAGCCCTAATTGCTCTCGTTCAAGGCAACAAACCCTTTCCTCTCTCACTTTCTTCCTCAGGAAATGACCGCGGTCACAATTTCTTGGCAACGTAAATCAGCTGATGTTGCCTACATTGTCACAGCTGCCACCAGGGAAGGAGTCACTTCAGACAATCAATTGCTTGACTCAGATTTTATAGTGATTCTACCAGCACTTCTTTGCGTGCTGATCAGCACTTTGGAATTGGAGATTTTTTCAAAAGGTTGGAGTTGGTGCATGATCAGATTAAAAGCAAGCTCGGTTGGCGGAGAGCTCAAGTCCATGGTTTTTTCCAGTTTTTTTTTTTTTTTTTTTTTTTTTCAATGTCTTTTTGTTGCTCATTTCATTATGCTTGTTTTCTTGGTCGTTATGTATGCTTCCACCGAGAGAGTGGCCAAGTATTTGAAGCCTTCTATTGCTGGATTCCTTATACTGAAGGCTAGCGGATACTTTAGACTTGTTTAAGTTTTGTATTCTGTGTCTGGTTGAAAGATTGCTCATTTGAATATTTTGTCATGCATGAGTCAACATTTTGAAATGTAAAGTACCCTTTTTTTCATAGACTTTGGAATAATAAGACTTGCAGGTGTTATTAAAATATCTAACTCGATGGTTGGCCCTTATTGCGTCACTGCATATTTCTTTATAGCATTATCGTTGTTGGACATTTATTGATGCTAACATTTCATTTTTCTTGAATCGCAGGTGCTCGACTACTTAGTTGGGGCTATTGTAAAACCAAAAAAAAAAAAAAAAAAAAAAAAAAAAAAAAAAAAAAAAAACCAAACAAAACAAAAAATCCATTTACTACAATTGTTTGTGGCTCAAAGGGATCCGTCAAAATTGGCATTATTGTGTCATTGTTAGAGAAGGTTGACATACTCATTCTTGATGGAGGAATGATCTTTACTTTCTATAAAGCCTAAGGCCATGCCTTGGGATCTTCGTTTGTGGAAAATGACACGCTTAGTCTTTGTAACATCATTTATGGAGAAGGCCAAGTCTAAGGGGATCCCTCTTTCTACCTACTGATGTTGCTGACAAATTTGTTGCTAATGAAGATAGCAAGGTTGGTTTTCCACTCAACGGCATTTTGATAATGTTTTTGAGCTCTAGATGAGCCTTGTAACTGATTTGGTATGTGCTTTTTGTAGCATAAATTTGACTTGCTATAATTCTGAAATAACTCACTACCTAGCTAATGCAATAAATTGCTTACTTTGGTACTACATAATTATGTGGAGAAAGATGGGAATGATTGCAGCGTCCAACAAGATGATTCTGTAGAGTAGTTACTGAAGTGTTACTCAACATTTTCGCAAGTTGTTCCAATACCTGTAATTTCTAATGGGTGGATGGGTTTAGTGTTGGACTTGAAACTATCAATTCATTTGAAAAAAGCTCTTGATACTATGAAATAAGTCATTTCGATGGACCTATGGGTACACTACCCCAAAAAAAAAAAAAAAAAAAAAGGCTTTTTGCAACGTTCAAAAAACATTGCTAACGACCCTTTGCAACGTTCAGCCGCATGTTGCAAGTCTGTATGTTATCGTAGAATAGAAGGATACGACAACATTTCTTAAATGTTGCAAAAAATCCTTTTGCTATGTTTTTCATTTTTCGAGCGTTGCAAAAAATCCTTTCACAACGTTTTTTGAACGTTGCAAAAAACCCCAACATTTTTTGAATGTTGCCAAAAATAAAAAAATAATAAAAAAATAAAATTTTACAACGTTTTTTGAATGTTGCAAAAAACCATTTCGCAACATTTTTAGACCATTGCCGTAGGTTTTTTATTTTTTTATAGCAATTTATGTAAATTGACTATCAAAAGTGAAAATGACTCCTTCAGAACAAATTTTGAAATTGCATAAAAATTGATAATTTCATTACAAATTTTTGAATCCATACACTTGAACATTAGAATGTGATACAACACCACCTAAATACAAAGGAGCTTCAAAGTGAAACAAAACTAGGAATAAAATTTTGATACAGCTTAGGCATGAAGAGCTTATTGCCACACTTGCAATACCAAGCTTCCGGATAATACTCTAACGGCATACTCAATCATATTGTCCTTCATGCACTCTTTGATTTGCTAGCCACACAATTCACGATGGCCAACAAAGCTGCAAGAGAAGCATAGAATCAATAAAAAAAAAAAGTCCGTGTGTTTGAATTTCAATCAAATCATACATTATTTACGTTTTCTGCAATTTTATGGTCAGATGTCAGATCTAATCTCATTTCATATTTACTGGCGAGATGTAAGAGAGTGTTCGCTTTACATTAGCAGACATGTGAAGCAAGGTTGGCATAGAACCACTGAGTAGGTGATTTACAACATCATTAAGAACTCACTACATCAATTTTCCGATCCTAAACTACATCTATGAGTTACAAAAGGTACTAGTAAGATATCATGGATACATTAACATCATATCGAGCAAACTAAGACTACATTACCTGGAAAGTGGCTCCATTGTGGACAATGTCCCGAACAGAAAGTGGCTTCATATCAGTAACTAGCAGCTTAAGCATCTCCTTTTGATTTTGAGAACACATGAGTTCTGATTCCACCTACTAGTGCTTTTTCTTGGTAAGCTTTCTCTGCAGCAGTTGCTACTCATTTGATGTCAATTCTTCCTTTCTTTTTTATGTGAGAACCCTAACAGGAATAACAACTCAAACTAATACATTTGCTGAACCAAACATGTTCTCTCCATCCAACAAATACACAAAATGAAAAAGAAAACGCAAAGGGCATCTCCAACCATTACACCATTTTGCACCATTTTTTGGTGCAAAGTCGCTCCAATGCAACACCAAACTTTGCACCATGTTGGTGCAAAATGGTGCAAAGTGTAAAATGTCTCTTTTGCCCTTAGTTAACATTTCGCAAATAAATTTGTTAAGTATATTTATGTCATTTGTGCTATATATTTTTTAATACAATAAATTATTATTTTTATTTTTATTAATATTAATATTATTTGTATTTAAAATAGATTTTAAATGTAAGACATAATAATTAATAAATTAATTAAAAGACGAAAACAATTTAAAATACATCAAACACGATTATTTATTAAAATTAACACAAAATATATTAAGTAACGATATATATATGATAATCTAATTTTATTATTAAAAACAAGGATACATAAAAAAGTGCATAGTTCAGTGATCACTTCCAAATCCTTCAAAATCGCTAAAATAATTTCCAAACTAAGAGATGCACTTCGAAATGCATTAATCAATCATTTGTGGGATGAACATATGAATTCTGAGAATTAAATTGCAAAAATTTAGCGACTTCGTAATATTATCTATCCAAATTCGAAATGCATTGTACTATTTTCTAATGTCATGATTTCATATTTTCATTGTTGTAGTATTTTTATTAATTGTTCTATTTTTTTTATATTTATTAATGAATTTAATTTTTTCTATAATTTAATGTAATTATTTATTTAGTAATTTATGTATTTATAAAATAATTAAATAAATAATATTTAAAATAAATAAATTATAAAGAATAAAAAAAGGGAAGAAAATGGTTAAACACTGTTCATTTGGTATAATTTTTGGTGTAATGGTTGGAGATGAATTTTAGTTTGGTGCAAGATTGGTGTAGGGTTGGAGATGGCCTAAGGAACCGCTGAAATCAGCAAGACGATAACTTAGTGAAAATACATAATCCAACAACTTAAGGGTCACCGAAATTATATTTAACAATTCTTGGAAAATCTGCAATCGCATCAGCAAGATAAGCTATTTAAAGAAGTTTAATTCTTATTTTAGCATCACCCCCTCAAAATTCAGACACGACATCAACCAATTTTACAGAACAAAATATATCTCAAAAAGTAAAAAAAAAATTGTTACGCCAAGGCAACACGGACTAGCTTCAGCATATCCAAGCTTTGCCAATGGCTAATAAGGATCTCACAAAGCCCTGAAAATTTGGAAATGACAAGATCAACTCGAAAATTGAACAGCTTTAAAGCAACAACTAGAATATAGGGCAAATCAGTCGGCCATAATCATGATACTGCTTTAAAGCAACATCAAAAACATAATTAGGATACTGCCATATAAATCACAAATCATGCCCATCTAATTACTAAAGCAACAACCAGAATATAGGGAAAATCAAAAGAACAAAAAATAAATAAGGAAAAATGAGTGTCAGGTTCGGGAAATTGATTCAGGGCTAAGGGCTTCACCTTCTTCCTCAGTTCTTCTAGTGCAGCTGAAGAATCACCGACATCAGGCGGTCAGGACCGCATCTGCTTTTAATGCTACCGTAACCGTTAACGCTCAAATCAAACAAACAGGGCCAGACGAACAGCAGGTGAGGTGAGTAGCAATGGAAAATGAGAAGTCTGGCTCTGGAAGGAGGAGACGGAGACAACGGAGCTGAAACTGGAAGGAGTAGGCAGCGGTGGGGGCCGAGAAAGTAGTGGATGGAATGGGATTGAATTTGAATGGATGGAATGGATAGAAGTTGTTCATATGAATGGTAATTATGGTATTGGGCTAAACAACGGGCTTCACTTTTTGGCTGGGCCTCGGCATTTGTATTGTTATAAAAAAAAAAAAAGTTGGGCCTTTCGCATCGTTTATCAAATGTTGCCAAAGATAAATATTTTGCTATGTTTGATAAACGTACAAAAAGATTTATATTTCGCAACATTTGATAAATGCTGCTAAAGGTTTCTCTTTTTACAATGTTTGATAAACGTTGCGAAAAAAGACCTTTTTGCAATGTTTATCATTTACAAAAAAAGCGTTGCAAAAAAGCAACAGTTGCTTAAAAAAATGGTGCTAAATCTCAATTATTAACATCAGTGGCAACATTCACTTATTAAAATGTTGCAATAGATCCCTTTAGTAACATTTAATTAATGAATGTTGGCTTTTGCATGTTGCAAAAAGGCATTTTTATCATAGTGCTATTTTTGAATTTGACAAGTTTTTCACAGAAACACGAGTATAATAAATAACAAGATAACTCATAACTGTAGATAAATTCTATTTTTTGTCGTGTTTTACCTGGATATTTGAAATCAAGTGCACGAATTGCTTATTCTTTTCCGTGCTATAGCTAAGAAAATTGGCAGAGCTTAGTGACAAGGGAGTGATATCAATCATTGGAGACTGTGACTTTGTTTCTACCATTGAAAAGTTTGGGTTGGCTGATAAGATGAGCCATATCTCTACTGAAGATGGTGTGAGCTTGGAACTTCTTGAGAGCAAACCCTTACCTGGGGTTCTTGCCCTTAATGATGCTTGAGTAGTGCTTTTCTTTGTCATGACTGGTTTTCAGCCAGACTAGCTGAATAAACTAGACCTATGGGATGATGCTGTACATGCAAGGAAGATAAGCCATGAACATGGTTCACTTATGGTAAAAATGAAAGAGGTTAATGCATTTGAGCAAGAACTACTTTAGCATATTGATATGATAACACTTGCACATGAAGAGAATGATGCAGAATTGGAATCAGTGAGTCCGCAACTATTCTCTTTCTAGGCATGTATGCTTCTTTTCTGTTTATAGAGTTTCATAATGCTTTTATTTTTCTCAGGAAACTACTCATTTATATTATTTTGTTATTTTTTCCAAATTTCAACCGGTTTCAATAATGCCTTAACATTTTTTTTTACATATAATTGGGTCATAAATCTTGATTTTCCTCTATCCAAGTGTCTTGGAAAACTTAGTTGGATCATTGTGATGTATTTGATCCTAAATTACTGCTGAATTAAATGACTTTAGTTTGTTACTTTGAAAAATGTGATTTGCTTGTGTGTGTGTACAAAAATGATTTCTTAAACATGGCACATTATTAATTGGTGAATAAGTTAATGGTAGGTCCCATGAATTTAATGGTTCACCAATTAATTGGTGTGCCATGTTATCGGTGCTTAGGATATCATTAACAATAGATTTATTCATATAATAATTTAACTACAAGAAAATAGAAATACAAAAGTTGGTCTTTGGAGAGTCACATGGAATGCTTTTCTTTAATATTTTATGTAATCTATCTGTAATCTATATTCAAAATTCATTTTAGAGGTGTTTAAGTTTTGGGGATGATGTAAATATTGAAAAGATGATTCTTTCCTCATGAGTTGCATGCTAGATTAAATTATTATTCTTTTTATTAAACGGAATCTCTAAAGGCTTCATTTACACAAGGAGAAAAAAAATATCAATGCAAAAGAGCTTGAAGCTTTGGAAGTTGGGGAGCATGATACTTCTTCTTGCTTATTAATGGCCATCATTTAGGTGCATTTAAATATCAATAGGTATTTGCTACTGAATTTTGTTCTTTTAAACGTGTAATTCTTTTACTATTTCTTGGTGGACTCGATGACTTTGTTTTAGTAGTATTATTCTCTATATATTCTCTATATATAATTGCACTTGTGGAATCAATTTGGTGAAATCAATCTTTTTTTTTTTTTACTAATTATAGGTTCATGAGCTTCAATAGTCATGCAGATGTATAAGAAGTGGGCTGAACTTTGAGGCTTTATGATTACCATTGTGGCTGAAATGCCTGGCGAGATAGTAGGAATCAAGGTTCATGTTTTTATCACCTTTTATGTTTATAATGTTTAATGGAGTCTGTGCGCAATATTCTCCTGGATAGTAGCTGATTGTCGTTTCTGCTCCCTTCCCTGTTCTGATAAATTTTGTTAATAGGAAGTAGTGAGAATACCGAACCAATACATTATGCCTCTCTTCCAAACTTTTTAGATGACGTCAAAAGTTAGTAAGTTTAAACACAAGTCAAATCAATTTTTACGATATTATCTTGTATGGTTTTATTGTCAATTGCTATTTGTTTCTTTGCATATATAATGCATGCTTTTGTCTTGAAATATGATAACCAAAATTCTGTATTGTATTTAAAACCTGTTTGATGGCCATTATTTGGTAAGAACTTTATTTTGAATAGTGAATTTTTAGAGAATGTGTGGCTAAAAAGTAGGAAAAAATTTTAGGTTTATATGAAGAATATTTTATTGGGTTAATGTGCAGTTGAAAATGAGTACGTAGAATAAAAAGTTTTGAAATAATGGTTGTCAAACAGGGGCTTAAATAATAACTTCCATTCTATCATTTTAATACAATGCCTCAATTTCTACATTTGTTTTGTTGAACGAATTTTTTAATTGCTTTAGTTTCTTTGTGTTCTGTTGCCATTAAAATTGGTGCAAGTGACTCCAAATTTTCATTTTGCTAGCGAGCCCTCTGTTATTCAATCCTTGATCTGTGTAGATATATTTAATTATCATGTTTTATTTGGAGGGGGTTTTGTATCTTTAATTTACATTATCGGGTTTTGTGTAAATTGGTTACAGAAAATGGGAAGAAAATGAATTGCCAAGCTTCAAAGAGTTCAGCTGCGAGGAATTGAAATCTGCTACAAATGGGTTTTCTTTTGAAAACATTGTTCCAAAGCATGGACAGAAGGCTCCCAGTGTGGTTTACAAGGGATTTCTTGAAAATTATCACTGGAATTTCTTTCATGTTTATAAATGAATTTCTCTCAAATTTACATGTTCTTATTTTTAACATTAACCAACACTTTAACCTCACTAGTTTATATACAAGTTATTAAAATGATTCCTAAACTAAAATTTACCTAGAAGCAAAAATCCAGTTATTCTACCACCTACATAATGGAAATACTTAATGCATGGGTGTCGCACGAGCATGAATGGTG